ACATTTGTATTTTAACTACTGCTGCTAATTTTTCAACAACATATTTGTTTAAAAAAAATTTTTTTTGCAGAAAAATTTATACAAGAAGGAAGAAGTGTATGATTTGTTAAAGAATGGCAACGGCGACTCATTTTCACGTTAATTTTGCTTTTTCATAAAACTTGATTTGTTGTTACGTGAGTTTACTGTATTGGCAGTGGAAAAAAGAGGAGAAAAATTGACTTTTTCTGTGGAAGATATGCCAGAATTGTACGAAAATGTGGTAAGAAATGCGAAAATCTCCAGCCTAACTTTTCTAGTAGCTTTGACTAATGCTGCATCGTCTAATAATCAGCCGAGGAGTGACCGTTCCATCTCCTAAACGGATTACCAGCTCAACTGGCAAAACTTTAACCGGTCCCGGCAAAAGCACTAGCAAAGCTTTAGTGGTTTCGAGACTTCCCTGATGCGTTTCATACATCACAATGTGCTGAGCATTACTATATGATGTTGGAACTCTTTTGCAAAAATAGGGGCAGATCGGTATGGAATCGAACTACTCACTTTCATATCTGGACATGACGTGCTATCCACTATACCATGAGTATCTTTACCCCCCAGAGGTAGCCTGCGCGCACTTGTACAGTGTATTTTCTTTTAAAATATTTCTTGTGTATGATTTCCCATGGGCAATTTTTTTTTATACTTTCTGTGACAGTTTTTTTGCCGGCTTTTCTCGGGTTTTCTGCAAAAGTTATTTCTAGTGTTGGATGAGCTGCTCTCTTATCATTTAGAAGTTTTATAACTTAAAAAAATTTTTTTTTCAGAGCATTTATCGGAATTATTCGCAAATGGCCAAATTGATTTGTGTTTACAATTGATCTCACAATTATCAGTGGAGTGCTTGGACTACGAAATCAATGAAATTTTATTAACACATCTCAAAAAACAGTTCATCATCATGGGTTATACAACTGTCTGTAATTATGTTGAGAAGTGGACTGAATGTATTTTTCAAAGTGCTTCTGGAAACAGGTTAATTTTTTTCCCTTCGTGATTTTTTGTGGTAGCATAATTGGGAGGGGATGATGGGATATGGGTGCTCTGCGGAATGGGCAGATGCGAAAGAGCAACCTCGGTTTGTACTGAGGGAAACGATGCGCTTCGTCAAGTAATGCGATACGCCTTTTTGCGAAAAACGCAATCGTAAGCACCATCTAAAAAGTCCTTTTTGTCCGTCTGTTATCTCTCATTCGTATTGTAGGACTAGCTGTTCTTTTTGACGTACGTAACTAGAATTACCAAAAACACTAAGACCACTCGAATGAACAATTTCCGTTTAGCAGTCGATCTTTGAAAATAACCTAACTGCTCAGTGAAACATTTTCCCGCCAAAACTTTAATTGCCTACACGTGAGAACGACGCATACTTGGAGGCTGAATTTGAAATGTTTAAGTTGTACTTGGACTGGGAACATTCCTGCATTTGGTATGAGTATTCCATGCTAGTGATGTTACTAGCAGCAATGTCAGGACTGAATTATATTACCTCCGGGTGGACCCGATGCCTCTCACCTGTTCGGATTTCATCCAAATGGTACATTTTTTGGTCATGGATACCATTCACTAATACCATAATAGAAACAGGACAACAAAAGCCTGGGCGACAAGAACCCGTACCTTTTTTACAAAAACCATCAGAGCAGCTGTGTAGCTTTGAAACTAACCTAAGTTTATTTTAACTTTCAAAAAACACCGCTTTTTATGAGGTTTTTCATGTTTTACAAAAATTTCAGAAATCACTGTGTCCTCCTGAAAGAGCTTA